CTTAGGCAGACTGAGATGGGATTGCTCCAAGTTACATCACCCTGTAATGCTCCTACGAGCTCCTACGGCTCGTGGTGCAAGCCAGTCTGGTGGTAGCAGATGCACTATGGCCCCATTCCTCCATCCCTGGCTCCACCTCTCCCATCCCTGGCCCTACCCAGAACACAGCCTCTATGCAGGCCAGGTCTACACTAGAAACGTACATTGGTATATAACTACGTCGCTCGGGGGTGTGAAAAATCGGTGCAGCTGCAACATTTTAAGTGTAGACCTGCCCTGAGACTTGCAGATGAGGAGCAGCTTCCTGGAACACGTGCACTGAGGGTAGTCTCTCCTGGCCCTTTGTGAGCCGTTTGCATCACTCATACACCAACATACTGGGGCCAAAGCTAGGCCGCAGCATCCTTCTCTCTGCCTCTGGTCTGTTAAGTGTGTTGCATATTCATGGTGTGATGAAAATAGCTCAAGGGTCCATTTGATTTTGTTCCCTTTTTGAAGGTTCATTTGATTTCTCTGAAGCTTTTGTTGGGTTTCATCTGAGGTTTCGTTGCTACCATGTAACCGACAGGCACAAGGGCTTTGTTAAACAAAAACACAACAAAGTCATGAACCCGCCAGCTCAAAAAACCCCGGTCTAATTCTTATTCGTATAGCCTATTTTGCTGCAACCTGCTCAGGTTTCCATTGATTTAGGAGGGCTAAGGTATTTGAACATAACTCAGCCTAGTTAATAGATCCAGAATGTATTTCTGAGCTGTGTCACTGGGTATGTAAATAAATGTGTACGGATGCCCTCTAGTTGTTTTTTAACTCAGTTTTAAACTGTCCTTTCCAGATTAACCTCAATTGCCTATTAGGTTAATTACTAAACATTTACAAGGGTCTTGCTCTGACTGCCCACTCCATCCACCATGAAACACTCTACTTAAAACTGCCAAAAGGAAATACAAAAGCAGTTAGTCTTTGGAACTCATTGCCACAAGCGCACAACAGAATTCAAAAACAGATTAGACATTTATATAGATTGTGAGAACTTTCAAAGTGACAACTGCAAGGACTATAAAATAGGAGTCTGGGACGGAGATAAACCCTCCAGCTTTAGGGCATAAAATGACCTCTAACTATGGTGGTCAGGAAGGAACTTCCCATGCGGCAGATGACCCCATTGCTGTAGGCTTCTGCCTCTTTCCTCTGAAGCAGCTGGTGCTGGCCACTCTCAGTGTCTGGGATGCTGGCGTAGATGGACCACTGGTCTGATACAGTTTAGTAGTTCCTCTGGCCCAGATACTCAAAGGTATTTCGGCATCAGAGATGCTTTGCCCCATGGACTCAGACGGGAGAACGTGGAATGCAGGATCAGGCCCTAAAGGTAGTACATTTTAATTTAAGGTGGCCTTTTCAAAAGCGCTCTGCAGTGGCCTCGCTCTGCTCCCTTTGAAGTCTCTGGTAAAGTGGCCATTGACTGCAATGAGGGCAGAGTTAAGCCAATGCAGAGTTAAGCCAAGTGCTTTGGAAAAGGCCACTTTTAAGCCACTCGCAGCTCACAGCACAACCATCTCACTTCCTTTTGGAAAAATCCAATGGCATTTCATGGGAAATTATCGTTTTCCTATAGATTTTTTGTATCATCCTATAGAAGATGATAGGAAATCCCATCCCTGCTATAGAATTCTATAGGGTGGTTCTGCAAAGCTAGAGCAAGGATACTGTTCTCTATTAAGTTCTGTAGGGTTTTAGATTAATGTCTGTAGAATCCTATCAATGTAATCTCCATTAAATTCCATAGGACTCTTCCATGAGGGTTAAAACAGTCAGCAAATGGTTTGCTCAGAGAAGACAACAGCTTTTATTCTGCTTTTTTCATTTTTACTAAGCCCCAAACAATTTATTATTAATTGTTGTTATTAATATGGTGCCATAAACATATATACGGCACATTGTAAAACAAATAATATATACAGAATCTGACCCCAAAAGCTTACAAATATAAAAGATAACTGCATGAAAACAACCAGGACAATTTTTTTTCCCCACTGTGTTTTCTTGTTTATATTTTTCCCCACTTTGTTTGAAGTCACACTATGAAATCTGCATTTGTAGCACAGCTTGTGATCCTCTGCATGAGGACCGCTTGCCAACTTGTTTTTTATTTGATCTAATGCTTTTAAAAAGCACTTTATTGTAGAAGGGTCACAGGACAAACCACTAGGCAACAGAAATGAAACCTAGAGTATTTGAAACCATTAAAACACTATAAAGAGTAACTGCACACTCCGACGAAAGCTTATGCCCAAATAAATTTGTTAGTCTCTAAGGTGCCACAAGTACTCCTCACTCTTCTTTCTGGAATCCATCTCCTCCCCTTACTCCATACTTTTGGTGTATGCTATTATAAATATTTGTTGCACTGATGCTTGGAGACCCTAATCAAGATTGCAGCCCCATTGTGCTTGGAGCTGTACAAACACATAGTGAGAGACAATCCTTTCCCTGAAAAGTTTATAATCTTGAAAAAACTAGATTAGGGAAGGAAGGAAAACACAGGCACAGAGACCAGAAGGAGTACCAGCAATTCAGTGGTAAAACTCAGGTTTCACTCCACTGCAGTTCCACTCCAGTACCCAGTATCCACTAGAATCCTAGACCACGCTGCCTCTCCCAAATCCATCATCCTGCAGACTGATCCACACAGGTTTACCAATGCACCTGCATGGAGCCCTACTGAAGTTAGGATCAGGCCTTTGATGGTAAAATTTTTAAAGATCTGTCTTTTGTGCTTCTCCTGAGAAATGCCTGGTGCACTTATAGCACTCTACAGCAGTGTTTCCCAAACTTGGGACGCCGCTTGTGCAGGGAAAGCCCCTGGCGGGCCGGGCTGGTTTGTTTACCTGCCGCGTCCGCAGGTCCGGCCGATCGTGGCTCCCAGTGACCGGCGGCCGCGGTTCACTGCTCCAGGCCAATGGGAGCTGCTGGAAGCGGCGGCCAGTACGTCCCTCAGTCCGCGCCGCTTCCCGCAACCCCCATTGGCCTGGAGTAGCGAACCACAGCCAGGAGCGCCGCCAGCTTTTATGCTGTCCTAGGCGGCGGAAGGTCCCGCCCCGAAATGCCGCCCCCCACAGAGGCGGTGGAAGTTCCCGCTGCCGAAATACTGCCACGGTCACCGCCCCCCAAATTGTAGTGCCCTAGGCGACCGCCTAGGTCACCTAATGAGTTGCGTCGGCCCTGTCCGCGGCCACTGGGAGCCACGATCTGCCGAACCTGCGGACGCGGCAGGTAAAAAAACCGGCCCGGCCCACCAGGGGCTTTCCCTACACAAGCGGTGTCCCAAGTTTGGGAAACACTGCTCTACAGAATCTCACAATGTTGTGATACCTGGTATTTTTCTTAAAGACCCGGATCCCAAAGTCATGTTATTATGTGAGCATCCCAGCTTCCATTTTTTAAATAAAGTAAGCTTCTAGCCCTCATGGTTCCTAAGAAAGCTTGAAAATGTAAATCCTAATGGCTCAAAAACCCAAAGGCAAATAAAAAGAAACCACCATTTATTGTTTGTTAATATCTCCTGATTTTTAAGCCAATCTCATGACTTTTGGGAGCCTAAATCATGATTTTTGAATACTTGGGGTTGGTAATACTATAAAAATGGTCACCCTACATAAACATGACTAGTGATAATTTAATCTGTGGGGTTGGTTATTATAACAGCAGGGGAAAGGGACAGCAGGTTGGGAAACAATGATTGTTTGAGCCCAGAGGTTTTGTGGGTTCTTAAGTATCAGGGGGTAGCCGTGTTAGTCTGTATGTACAAAAACAACAAGGAGTCTGGTGGCACCTTAAAGACTAACAGATTTATTTGGGCATAAGCTTTCGTGGGTAAAAACCTCACTTCTTCATCTTCAGAAGTGAGGTTTTTACCCACGAAAGTTTATGCCCAAATAAATCTGTTAGTCTTTTAGGTGCCACCAGACTCCTTCTTGTTTTTGTGGGTTCTTGTATTTCACTGCCGGCGTACACAGACACCTAGACACTTTGGCAAGTGCTTTACAACTTCCTAAGAGAGAGAAATGGCTAGCGGCAGGGTACATATGGTGATAGATGGCTAAAATAATGGATGGCAGGGTGGATAAGCAGACTGGGATTATGGGGGCAGAGGCAAACTGGTGGGGTGAAGGCTTAGGCTCAGCCGGGGCAGCCCCACTGGAACCAGCACCACTCACACCAGAGCTATTAGGTGTTAGCCTGAGTGGGCCCTGGAGGTGCTGGGTGGGGGACAACTCTGCAGCAGTGAGTGCACTGTGGGGAGGCTTTGGGGGGTGCCATGAGAGGGTGACTGCCCTGTATGTGGGTGCTAAGGTGACAGTGGCCTGAATGGGGACTGTGGCGGTGCATACACTGTGGGGAGGATTATAGGGGCAAGTGCATGGGGGGGAGCCATGTGAGGGGGGCTGCCCTGTAGATGGGTATTAAGGTGACGGTGGCCTGAATGGGGACTGTGGGGGTGCATGCACTGTGGGGAGGATATGGGGGAGCCATGTGAGGGGGGCTGCCCTGTATGTGGGTGCTAGGGTGACTGTGCCCTGGGGGCGGGCTAGGGGGCTGCCCTGTGGGGGTCCCGTGCCCCACCCGGGTGCTGACGGGACAACGCTCAGCACACACACCGCCCTCCTGGCGCGCGCCCCGCGCGCGAAGAAGAGTTAAAAGGGGGCGGGCTTAAGGGGCGGGGACCAGGACAAGCCGCAAAGCGCGCCGCCATTGTCGCAAAGCCCTTCCTTCCCCTCTCCCCCGCCTTTCTCAGCAACCTACTGTATTCTCAAACGCGCTTTACGCCAGCGGCGCTCCGCCGCCACCCTCCCTTCCACCGCGCGTGCGCCGAGCCCCTGTACCTCCGAGCCTTCCTATTCATGGAGGGCTTTTGCGCCGCCGGCGTGGCGCGCGCTGCATAGGCCGTCGCTGAGCCGTACGCCGCTGGAGTAGAGGCGTCGCGGTGTGCCCGCTGCCCGTGGAGTGTAGGGGGGGGGAAGGGAGAGAAGAGGCTTAAAGAGACAACAGCCGCGGGAGGAAGCCCACAATGGAGCGGCTGGCGGGGGGCCGGGGGGCTGGCCCCCGCCTCTGAGGGGCCCCGAGCAGGTAACTACCCCGCGCACGGGCGTCCCGGGGCGCTGGCGGCGGGGGCGCGTGGGGCTGGGGGAAGGGGCTGCCCTGTTGCTGCTCCCCGCGCCCCAAACCGCCCCCTCAGGCGGCCCTTCGCTGTGGGGGTGAAGCTCTGTGCGGCAGCGGGCTGGGGGAGGGGGGGTTGTGGGCAGCCGGCGGGGGCGCGTGGGGCTGGGGGGGGGGCGGGCTGGGGGGCCCCGGGGACCGGGGGGGGGGGCGGGGAGGGGGGGGGGGGGGGGAAGGGCTTGTACCTTCGAAGAACTGAAAAAGAGCAACCCACCAACGGGTGAGGTGTGAGAAACAGATGTGGGGGGTGGGGGAGGGTGTTGCTACAATAATTATGTGCAATGGATATTTTGTAGCTTTTTTTAAAAAAAAAAAATCCTCCCCAGGACTGTCTTTCACTCATTTTAATTTTTAGGCCCAACTGCTGCTATTTTGTGCCTGTCTTTGAGGCTTAGAGTGATCCTTCCTAAGTTGCCTGGGTGGTTTTTGTTTGCTTTTTTTTGCTTTTTACCTCTCTCCCCACCCCACACACACATACTACCCCACACCGACCATATTGACCCTGTGGTGTTGTGAAGCAGGGCTCTGTTGGGGTGATGCAGTGTGTTTTGGTTGGGTTTTTTACTCCCCCAGAGGGATCGGCAAGTGTTCAATTGGGGGAGACGGGTGGGGAAAGATCTTGGTTAAAATAAAAAGCTAGTGAATCAGAATGAATCAGTTTGAGATATAGGAAGAATAAAGGCCCCACCCAAAAGAGGATGAACTTTTAAATGTTTCCTAAGCAGCCAAGAGAGAAGACTTTAAAAAAGGAACCCCAATGTCTTATCACAGTGGTTCTAAAAGTGTGGTGTTGAGCCCACCGGTGGTCTCTGACGCCTGCCTGGTGGCTTGTAGAATAGAATCTATGGAGAGTCAAGCTGTTCAGTAGGGATCGTGGACTTGGAAGAAAAGGGTCTTGCCCTTGTGAAGGGTTCCACAGTCTGAACAAATTGGGGGGCCTGCCATATTGTGTCATTTTAAAATGAAAATTAAATTGTTAAACCTTTCAAGTTGTAATGAAAGTAATAAATTATAAACAAATTGGAGGTAAGTAGGATGCTGGCCAAGCTGCATGCAAACTAACTATAGAGGAGTAAATCTTTTGCACGGGTATATTTGGAAATTATTGCATTAACTAGTCCATTTGTCTTCCCTCCATACAACAAGTAGATGGATTTCTGGATGTGAACTATAAGGAGTGTATAAGTTTGCCTGCCAGCAACATTGCCCATCCACAATGCCACACACAGACTGCTCTCCCCCCCCCTCCTCCGGGCATTGACCACCAGAACAAAGAGATTTAAAAATCAGGCCTTTTGTAACAGGTTGAAACAAGGTTTAGTGTTTGCCAATATGTCTGAAAGAGAATCACTCTAAATGAGAGCAGGAGGCCTCCATTGAGATAGTGTGGGAAGGCTGCCTTTTGTGGCAGTGTAGACCTACAAGTCCATAATTAACTTGCCAAAGTTTATATTCAACGTGTTTCAGATAGAAGCATCCCTTAAAAATGACCTGATCCGTGTTCAGTACTTTTCAGTATCAGGCCCTGAATAGGCAGAGGTCTTGAGATGCAAGCAAGACTTGGTCCAAATTCAGATCTGATGTGTAACTGGGTGCAACTTAAGTCAGTGGAGTTGCACTCACTTAGCTAGACCTGTATTCCCCCTGCCCCATCCCTCTGCTTTTTGTCTAACGGGGCTATTCCAGCTCATCATCTTGTCTAGTTATGCTCTAGTAACCGTTGCTGTATGGAGTAAAAGAGTCTTGGGATTTGATAAGCCCTGTAATTAGTTTGCAAAAGTAGCAATGTCTTTAAAAAAAAAAATCAATCTGATCTTTTTCTGTGTAAAATAGATGCCTCCGCTTTATTTATCCTTGCATCAAAATGGATTAGGGAATAATAGCTAGCATTTTGCATGGTTAACTTAACAGGGGAAATTATTTACTGTAGAGCAGTTTCTTTTGAGGTCTGACTGGAGTGATGTTGCTTCCCTTATTTTGTGGCTTGCATTGGGTTTTATTCTTGCTACATTCTTTTTAGGAATGAGTGGAGAGATGGAAACAGGGGTCATATTTTGGCAGGTTTTTGACTTTTCCCCCAAAAGCTGCCTGTTGTCATAGCACAGTAGGGAGGCTTTGCACTGCTTTGATCTTAGTCTGTGTGCTACCTCTCCATTCCCATGCCCCCACGTATGGTCAAAAGTGTCATATATATTTGAGTGTGACTCAGCAGATCAATGAAAACAATCTGAGGGGTTGCGTTTATGGACAATCAGTATCTCTCTTTCCAACCAGGCTAACAGAGGCAATGTCGTCCTATAGCAGCTGCCAAGAAATCTGTTTACTGGACCTGGGCCTAATCACATTCTGTAGCCTTCTCTCTACCCATGACCTGTGCTGTCCAGCAACAGTGGTCTTGCTAGTTTCCATGGCTAGGATTGATCAGTGAACACAAGGTTGTGTTACAGCATCTGTCTAGCTGGTCAGGCTATCTGGATATTTATTTGCTCCTTGTAATATCTGAGCACCATGCCGTCACTAAAGGATTTATCCTTGCAAAATCATGGGAGGCAGGGAAGCTTTACCCCATTTTATAGAAGGGGGAACTGAGGCACAGGATGAACTAAGTGACTTATCCAAGGTCCTTAAGCTAGGAACCAAACCCAGGTCTTGTGAGTTTTAGTTAGCATCATATCCTTTAAGCCATCTTTGCTAGTCTCCCATTCCTGCCTGCTAGGTTTACCTAAACTATCTGATAAACAAAACTCATATGTGTCTTGTGGCAGGGACAGTACATACCTCTGTCTGTATAGTTCCTGTTAAGGAAGGGTGGTCCAGTGGTTAGGGCGCTAGCCCGGGACTTGAATACATGGGTTCAATTCCCTAATCTGACACAGAATTCTTGTGACACCTTTGGCAAGTCACATTATTTCTCCGTGCCTCACTTCCAGTGGCAGGCTCTGACATTTTTAGCCAGGCATCCTCCACGCGGCCTGACCTTGCACATATGGCGCATGCAAGGTCACGCTGTGCAGAGGATGTCATTTTGTTCAGGGGCCAGATGGAATTGTCCCAAGGGCACAGCTGGCCCTGCACACCACTGCTCAGTTCTCGTCTGTAAATGGGGTAATAGCCCAGCCCTGCTACACTGGGGTGTCAGAGGATAAATACATTAGAGATTGTGAGGTTCTCAGGTACTGCAGTAATAGGGTAATCGGCACCTAAAATAGTGTCCTGCTCAGAACCAATGGGCACTACTAAATATTATTGTATAATGAAACGCCAACTAGATAGCATTGGGTTGGCCTTGACAAAATGGTAACCATCCACTCCTAGCACAACGGGGCCCTCGTCCATGGCTGTGGCTCCTAGGAGTTGTGGTAATACTGCTAATAATAATCTGTCTTTCCTTCTCTGCCACAGGAGGTAGGGTTGGTTGGGGTAGCGTTGGGAGCTGTGGAGGAGACAAGTTCTTTGTGACTCTGGAATCCTGTCTGCAAATTGGATCTCTTGCACTCAGAGAAACTGCAAATTTATAAATAGTTTTTTGAATTAAAAGTTTTATTTCTATGCTTCCTGTTGGGAGCGAGTAACTATCCCTGATAGAATCCACCATCATAGAGAAGAGACAGGGCTCAGTTGTGGTGAAAATACGAAGGCGACTTTCTCTTGAGGCTGCTGGACACAGATCGCCACTGTGGTTCTTTGTCTCTAGCTCCCAGACTGACTGACGCTACCTAGCCATCCCCACTCTCTGTTTGGAGTGTGTAGTCATGGAATGGATTACCAGCTAAATCGCAGACCCATTCATGCAGGTTATATTCACATTTTCTTACTGCTGTCTGAGAAGTGAGGGAAAAACTTTAATGCAGAGCATGTATCTAATTAAAATATTATCCATCGTGTCTATACTACAAAATCAGCTGTTGGGTGACACTTCAAAGGCTGCCATCACACATGGTCAAACCACATATCTGTTTTTCAGAGGAGGCAGGACTTCACTGGTTTCTGAGAGGCTGAGAATCATGCAAGCTGCCTTTGGTTTTGGGTACATGGTTAGGTCCAGTGTCAGGAAACAAACGCCTTATAAATGGAGTATGTGGCACAAATAATGGTAGTGTTGAGGAAACCCATAGCGAGACAGCTGCTCCCTGTTGTTGCTATTGCGAAGGTAATTTTATAGAAAGGTGGGTAGATGTCAAAATGAGACTCAACTGGTAACTAGTTTGGTAAATGGCTCTCTTCGTTAACCTGAAAGATGCATGTGAAACGACTTACATGTAGCATTTTCAGAATTTCACACTGAACAAAATGGGTACAGATTTCTTTAGAGATTTGTAGAAAAGAGTGGACATTGCTGGGGCAAACTTCACCATTGATTTCCTTCATTCTGAAGATCATGGTAAGCAGGTTGGTATGTGTCTGGTAAGATTCCTAAATGTCCAAAGATTTTTGTAGTCTCAAATTGTGAAGGAAAGTAATGGTTCCTCTTTTGCAAAGAAATCTCTGGGCATAAGTGTCTGTTGACACCCATTTTCTTTGCTGGCATTGGCCTGATTACACCTAAGATCTACACCTTAAATCACCAAAGATCCAATGTCAGCACTGTCCTTTCCAGGAAATACATGTGTTTTGATGTCTTGAGGCTAGTTCACATGGGTAGTAAAATCAAGGGATCTGAGAATCTTTCATTAGAAGAATTTGCCTCAAATCTGGTGACAAGATGATATCTTGGGGGGAACCTGGACTCTCATGACAGACAGCACAAAACAGATTAGGAAAAAATTCTCTCCAGTGTGCAGCATTGGCTAGTGCACGACAGAGATTCTCCGCTTCCTCTGTAGCATCAGTTACTGGAGGCTGGGCGATCCAGTATGGTGGAAACTATGGCTCTTAAAAGGGGAAGTAGACAGTCCCATGTTCTGCTGAAT